TGTGACCTCTGAGCCCTCTCTCCAGCCCCGCCTTGTATGTCTGTTCCAGGCTACACTGGCTTCTGCTTTTGCTGATGGCTGTCTTCTGTGATCTGCTAGTTTTCCATCAGTCTCTGCGGCTCCTAAACAGCTGTGGGTCTAGAAGGGTCTCTGCTCTTTGTTCCTTTCCCTCCGTTGCTCTGCTTTCTGGACAAAGAAAGCAGACACTCTTCTGCGCTCTGCTTTCGTCCTCGTCCCAAGGCATCTTCCTCTCTGCCCAAGCTCATCTACTTCGGTAGGCTAATGTCTCTCCATAGAACCCTGAATCCAACCAAGGCTCCATCCCCCAGGCCATCCAATGGGGTCTGTGCCCTCACTAGACTTGCTCTTTAACAAATCACTCACCTAATTGCCTGAGGTATGGACATCCGGTCACCTGCATCTCATAGCTTCCTGCCATGGGCCTGGCTGTTTTGCCCCACAAAAACCTGCACATCAGGACTGCGGCTGTAGCTCAGTTGGTAGAGCTCTTGCCTAGCAAGCGTGAAGTCCTGGGTTGTATCCCCAGCACCACGTACACAGGGCACAGTGGCACGTGCCTGTAATCCCAGCACTCCGGAGGTGCAGGCTGGAAGATCAGGAATTTGAAGTCATCGTGAGGTACGTAGAGAGTTCAAGATCAGCCTGGGGTTGGTGAGATGCTACCTCAGAAACAAAGCAAAAAGAGTTAGTGATGGGGCTGGAGAGACAGCTCAGCAGTTAAGAGCTCTGGCTGCTCTTGCAGAGGACCTGGGTTCGACTCCCAGCACTCACATGGTGGATAACAACAAGCTGTAACTCCAGTTCCAGGGGAATCTATCGCCCTCTTCTGACTTCCGCAGGTATTTGACACGGGTGCACTTATATACATGCAGGTAATATGCTCATATACATAAATAAATTTAAAAGTTAATGATAAAAGACTTGCACCATCACTGGACCCCCTGGCCCACCCTCAGGGTTTCCATGTTCATCTCTCTCTGTCTCCCCCAAGTCTGGGCCTGTCATTTTTTCTTTTTATTTTTTTGAGACAGTGCCTTCCTATAGCCCCAGGTAGCGTAGAACTCACTATGTAGACCAGGCTGGGCTTGAGCTCACAGAGATCTGCCTGTCTCCCAAGTGCTAGAACTAAAGGTATGCACCACCATGCCCATCCTGGGCCCGTCATTTAAAAAAAAATGTTTTATTTATTATTATTTTGGGAGGCAGTCAAACCACTTTATTAGCGGCTTGGGGATGAGGAGGGGCAGGCGGGGTCCACACGATCCACTATTTGCAAACGTGGGCAGTAGAGGAAACTGAGGCAGCCGAGGAATAACATCCCTTCACCTCTTCCCCAGCTGGCCCAACTCCCATCCTCAAGAGGCACCTGGGCTGACCGAGCGTACCTCACCCACAAACTGAACTGGTTTTTCTGTGCCAATTTTGTAGATTCAGAGACCAGCCACGGGACCCGGGCGTTAATGACCAGCCCCTGCCGTAGACTGCCTCGCCCACTACCGCCCAGCCACTGGGATTAGAGGTCACTGGTGATTGGATGGTTGAAATTACAACCATATTTATGTGTATGAGTGTGTGCCTGTATGTATGTATGGGCCCCACATGCATGCACTGCCTACAGAGGCTGGAAGAGGCCATTGGATCCCCTAGAACTGGAGCTGCAGACGTTGTGAGCTGCCCTGTGGGTTCTGGGAACTGAACCCAGATCCTCTGCTAGAGCGGCCACTGTTCTTAACTGCTGAGCCAGCTCTCTGGACCCTGGAATGTATTTCAAGACCCTAAAAATGCCAAAGACTTGCCTGTCAGGGCGGGTGTTCCTTCACGGTGTATGGGGTTTGCTTGGTATTATGGCTTGGATGAGAAATGTCCCCAGTACACTCGTGTGTTTGAACTTGGTCCTCGGCTGGTGGTACTGTTTGGGGAGGTTGCAGAGTCTCCGTAGGCGAGGCCCACCTGGAGGAAGTAGCTCTCTAGAGAGGGGCCTGGAGAGGCATAGCTAGGCTCCACTTCTGTCCTGCCTCTGCTTCTTGGACCACGAGTGGGCCGCCCCGAAGTCCTGCAGCCATGGAGCCATGCCAATCAAGCCTTCTCCAGCACTGTGGGTTGTATTCCCTCAGACCGTGAGCCTGAACAAGGCTATTGCCCTGGGGTGCTTCTCCAGGGTTACAGACAAGGAAAGTGATGTAAAGCATGCCTTCCACGTTGCAGTCGGCTAGGAAGAAGAACTTGACGGTTTGAACCTACATTACAAATACCCTGCATTTTATTGTTGGAAATCTGACTGCTTAGACCAAACCATCTTAGAGCATTATGGCAATTTCCTGGTGCTGCCACAGAGGGTCACAAATTTGTTGCTTATAAAAATACAGGTTTGTTCTCTTACAGCCTGAGAGACCAAAGGTCCAAAGTGAGTGTATTCAGGTTACACTCCATCCATCTGAAGGCTCTGTGCGATGGTCCTTCTGGGACCCCCACCTCCACCCCCAGCATCCCTTAGCCTGTGGCCGCATCACTCCAGGCCATCTGGTCATGTAGATGAACCCGGGACATCCAGGGTGGTCTCATCTTGCTGTCCATCATGGCATCTGCAGAGTCTTGTTCTAGCACGTGGTCGTATTCACTGGGGTGTGGCTCAGTGGAGGACAGATGCTTATCCTGTGCCAGGCTGCAGGTTCAATCCCTGGTACCACAGAAA